CTCCAGTACAAAGGAAAACTGGGATAAACGGCAGGTGTGAGGGGTTTGCTGAACACAGGCCTTGCCAGGCAACAGCTTGGGTGACTAGGTTTCAGAGGCACGGCTCCCTCAGATGATGAAGGAGCAGGATAATCATACTGTGGATGTATTTGTAGCACAGCAATTTTACTTTATACAGCTACTCACGTCATCTCGATTTGCCCACTTTTCTAAGAGAGAATCTGTGCAGCTTAAACACATCTTCATGGCATTTCCGTAGCAAACTAGAATTTTAATGTTTTCTCACCTCATCTTCCTTGTCCTCTAGATTTCTAAAGCCTTCTCATAGACAATGGGGGCTTCCAAACATTTGTGGGAAAATGGAATAAAATATGATGAAATTTCCCCACGAACTTTGAAGTGCCCTGATGTAAGTGGAACTAAGCCTGAAGAAATGAACCCAACACCCACTGCTATCAAGTTGATTTTGACTCAGAGATCCTATGTCAGGTTTCCACGGCTGTCAATCTTGATGTGAACATATAGCCTCACCTTTCTCCTGCAGAGTTCCTGGTGAGTTTGAACCACCAACCCTGCAGGTCAGCAGTTCAGTGTTTACCCGACAGCGCCACTAAGGCTCCTTGAAGCAATTAAAGAGGGCCAACATGTGACTAAGACAGGAAATGAGCCCACAATGGCAAAGCTAAAGGTCAATTCACACGTGATCAAACACATTCATTTCCAACAAGTGAGATTGCCAACCTTGAAAAACTCGTCCTCGCGAAGAGTCTTCAGAAGTTCCTCAAGTGTCCAGGGAAAACCATGACAGGTTTCTCAGCATGCCACGCAGGTGCTCTCTCATGACTGCACGTAGCTGGCCAGTTTCTTTCCCTCTCATCTCCTCCCGTGTGCTCCATGTTGCCTGGCCATTCGCACGAACCAGGTCTTTGCTCTGCTCCATGTGCCCACATGCCTTCCCCCATGCTGTCAACGGCTAATTCTTAATTATCCTTCAGATATGACCACTTCAGAGATTTCCATCGTCTGCCATTCCCAGTTACTGCCCTTTTAAACTTATTACGTGTGGATCAATAAAACCAGGCAAAGCTGTTTGTGTTCGAATTCCCTGCCACTCAGAGTGTGGTGGAAGACCTTGCAAACATCTGCAGGCTATTAAAATGCAGCATCCTAAGCTTCCCCACAGACCAACTAAATACAAAATGTGTTTTAACAATATCCCACATGATTCACATGTCCACTAACATTTGAGAAGCACAGTTCGAACCCATTGGGCTAGAGGTCAGCAAACTGTGGGCCAAATCTGGGCCTGCTGCTTATTTATGTACATGACATCTTTTGGGAACACAACCATACTCATTTGTCTGCACATTGTCTCTGGCTGTTTTCATGCTGTAATGAAGAAATGAGTAGGGGTTGCATCAGAGCCTGTGCAGCTGCAAATCCTAACATATTTACTAGCTAGGCCTTTGTAAAAAATGATTTGCCAACTCCAATCTGAGGCTGTGCTGATAAACTCATTGCCATTGAGTTGATTTAGACTCCTGACCACCGTGTGCCTGTCAAAGCAGAACTGGGCTTTGTGGGGTTTCCAAGAACAGATTTTTCAGATGTAGATCACCAATAGTGGATTTTTACAAGTACATCACCAGGCCTTTCTTTCTGAGATGCCTCTGGATAGATTCCAACCTCCAACCTTGAGTTTTGCAGCCCACACCATTAAGCATTTACACCACTCCGGGACTAGACCAACACTACACTTTGCCATTTCATTGTCACTGTGAACAAGTCACCATCTGCCCAGCTCTCACGTCATTCATCTAGAAAATGAGAAGGTACAATGGACCCTAGCTTACCAGGGGGATTTATGAGTTAATATTTAGGTATTTCAATTGGTACCCTCTGATGGTACTTGATGTTTTGAGAGCAACATGAGGAAAGATTTGTTGAATGCTGTCAATGACTTTTATGACAGACAGTTTACCCGTACCTTCTCTGCTTCAGAGTCCCAGTTATATAGTGGTTATGCATTGAGCTGTGATCCACCAGAAGCTCTGCTGGAGGAAGACTGGGCTTTCTACTCCTAGACACAGTCCAGTCTTGGAGACCTTCAGGAGCTCACTATGAGTCAGCCTTGACTCAATGGCAGAGAGCTCACGTGTTTGGCTTATTCTCTGCTTCTTCCCGGCATCCTCCCATTTGTTTGATTGTTTACTCATGATAACAAACCTTCATGAAGGGTGACCTTTCCTTAGGGGTAAATTGTATTGCAAGTCAACTCTTAATGACAGATTAAGGGTAGGCTTATGGGTAGGCAGTTCTGGCCAATGAGTCCAGAGGAAAGGAAATTGTTTCCCCATTCTTTACAAAAACAAACCCACAAACGTGGAAGAGATATTCCTGTTCTTTCGTGGATGTTGTTTTATCTGCAAGTGATGCATGGAGCTGTAGCACACATCAGGGCTGGTTGTCTAAGGCCTCAGCTAACATGTTTTGAACAGCAGAGCAGAAAGATTGAAAGCATGGGGCCCTGTATGAAGTCACAGAGTGGATGAATCAAACAACCCCTGGGTTTACCTACTCATGTGTAACTTTTAGAAGAAATGTTCCTAGTACTTTAAGTTTCAGTCCAAAGCATTCTAATGCACGGGGCCAGGGATCATGACACATTATTTTTATTCCAGCCAGGACTTAACCATTGTTGGGTGCTATTACTTGGAAATGGGTGGGCTTGCTAGGCCAAAGGAAGTATCAAGAATGCTCTGGGTTAGTTCAGGTCCAATTCTGTGCCTTAGGTCACCCTCTCGGCTGCAAGTTCTCTCTTCCTGACGCCTGTGGCCTCTTTCCCAAATGTTGATTTCCCTTGTTGTCTGAACCTGCTATCAAAACTTGGCACGTCCTTATTTTGGAGCTAGATGGGTTTTGATTGTTTCCTTGGCAATATCCATTATTTCCCTCTGGAGCAGAAGGAGGGCGTGAGGACAGTTTAACTCTTGGGGGAAAGTGAGTACAGGTAGGGTCTCTCATATAACATGAAAGAAAGGAAGTTACTGAGGGCTAGAAGTGTCAAAAGATACTTAGAATTTAGAGGTACAGGGAGTGTTGCTTTGTTAACTGATTTGGTGTGGAGCCGGAACCGTTACCAGAGTACATTTGAGGGGGAAAAAGAAAAGGGAGAAAGTGGCAGCAGAAACAGCACTGGCCTCCTCTCCGGTCACACAGCTTCTCAGCCCTCATTGATCCCTGAGGTCACGCTGGACTTGCCGAGCTCTCACGCTCTCCCCAAAGGCAGAAATGCCAAGTTCCTCCTGCCAGAGAAAGGTAGGGTAGGAGATGTTGGGAAATGCATGTCACAAGGTCGGGCACAATGGACCTTATCTCATCCATCTCCCTCCTTTCAGACAAGAGCAGCACACCTAACATTGCTCGCCAGTCCATTCTGACTCAAGGCAACCCGGCAGCTCAGCGCAGAGCTGCCTCAGAAGGTGTCCGAGGCTAGATGTCTTTAATGAAGGTACATTGCTTTCCTGCGAGGTGGGTTCCAACCACCACCTCTTCGGTTAGCAACCAGATACTGAACTACGGCATTGCCAGGGTTCCTTCAGCACACATCTACCTAGTGCTACTTAGTACAAGTCCACTCTTATTGACCCTATAGGACAGAGGAGAACTGCCCCTTAGAGTTTCCAAGGCAAGAAGTCTTTGTGGAAGCAGACTGACAGCTGTATCTTTTCCCAATGGCTGGTGAGCCCACACCCCTGACCTTTCAGTTAGCAGCCCGGACGTTAACCCATGTAACCAGGGTTGCTTCACAGCAAACCTACCCCAGGTCCATAGGAACACATTTCATGGTTAAAAGTCACCGGAATGGGGGGGAAATATGGGTAGTATACTTCACAACCTTCTTCTACAAATGGTTTAATTGTGGGCTCGTCGCCTATTAGAGTTAAAAAGACCAGGCCTCTTTTCCCATTTGACCCCATTCTCATCAATGTATGGCTCGAGCCTGCTCTCAGTGGCACAGCCCCACACTGCAGAGGTGAAGCTGGAGAGCTGAAGGGAGAGCCGAGATCCCCCCTTGATACACTTCAAACCTTCCTCACCAGCTATTTGCACACTCGTAATTCACAGCACTTCCCGCCTGACTTTCCTTTGCACTCCTTTCCTACCGTTCCTAAGCTTTCTAACGGAGGGTGCAGCCCCACCTAAAACTTTTCCCCTTCATCACCTAACAGTTAACTGGATCCTTAAGAAACAGGTCCTTACGGACAGGCTTTCTTTGTGGTTAATGAATTCCCATGTACATTTGTTAATCGTATCTGTCCAGAGTAAAAGTTCCCTGCCAGAGACTTGTGAACAGAGCCCACCTCATTCCCTCCAGGGCTTCCAACTCTTTGGGTGCTCTCAGCAGGGGGCACGAGGGGAGGCGGCTTCTGTTTGAAAGGGCTGAGCTGAAGATGCGACTTGTTTGGTTGAACAGCGAAGGAGAAGCCCACGGGTGAAAGCTCAAAGGGAGGAAATGAGATTTGTGGTGCTAATCCCTTTTAGGCCATGGTAGAAAGTGAACTTTCTGCTTTGAAGTCTTTGGGACAAGAAATTACAGCTACCAGGGAAGCAGCCTTCATGACTTCCTCTGTAGGCTCTTGTGTTGGAAAGTACCCAAGGAATAAGAAGTCCCTTGAAAGTTCTATCCCTTGTCCTGGCATTGCTGGGAACTAGATAGGACACAGAGGTGTGATCTTTGGGGCCTGAGTGAAGTTTCAGTGTCCTGCTGAGAACAGAAAGCACAAATGTCTGTCGTTTCCCCCTCCTCAAACTAGACCTTGTATGCCAGTGAACTAGGTATATGGATGCGGGGGACTGGTTACATATAGGCAGACAACTATTGTACAGGGGTGGGCTAAGAGAGAGGCTGATGGGGGCCTGCCCCTCTACCTCACTGCTTCCTTTTCCAAAGGATTCAGGATCGACCCACCAACAATAATCCAAACACCACAAAGAACTTTAGAAATGAGTATGCATATAATTGGTCCACATATCCCACCTGTCACCTACGATTCAGATGGAGGAGGACTGGGGGAGAGTTGTGTCAATGCCACTCTAGGACTTCTGAACTACAGATCAGTCCCAGAGACCACAGGCTTCCTGACTGGTCTCTGCGTGGCTGGATAATTGTCCTTTCCCAACCTCCAAGAAGTACATGGCCTGCAGAATTAAGGGGAGACCCCCATCCGCTTGGGGCTGCCTGGTGTATCTGAAGCAGACGTGGTCATGGGAGACTCTTCAACAGAGGCTTTGAGATCCAGGAATTCCAGGATGATGTCCCACAGACAATAAATCAAATGCCTGAAACAAATGGACAAAACAACTTAAAAGAGGGACTGGCTCAGTTGAGACACCATAGTTTGTTCAAAACGTTGCGTTTCCCTCCCCCTCCCCCATTACTGCTGCCTTATCCACTGCCATTGAATTGATGCTGACTCCTCGCAACACTACAGGGCAGGGCAGAGCTACTCCTTAGGGTTGCCAAGACGGTACCTTTTTATGGCAGCAGATGGTCTCAACTTTCTGCCATCAAACAGGTGGGTTTCAATCATTGCCCGTGGCATTAGCGGTCCAACACTTAACCCACTGTGCCACCAGGGCTCCTAGCAGAGCTGTAGTAGACCCCAAACTAGAGGTAGATGAAGCTCTACCATGAAATAAATATTTGCTGAATTACTGAGGGTCACAACGCCAGAAACAGTACTTGGGATTGGAGTTTAGAACATTCCATTCCATTCCCTACTTACACCATCACATTAGTGCATCGGCACTGCTGAGTAATTGTAAGGGGAAATCCCTGATAAATCGGGTTTCTAGGAATTCTCAGGGATTCTGACTATTGCTGCTTCTCATAATCAATCAGTGTAGACCGCAGGCTACTTGTAGGCAATAACACGAGAGCCAGGGTCCTAGAGGAGTGCGCGCTAACCGATGCAGTCTACTCTGGGCAAAGGTTTACGAAGAGTGAAGGAGTACTCAGTATTTTCCCGAGGAATTTATTCCCAAGGTACTAGAGAGTACTGTCTCCCTCCCTTTCTGCGCCCCTTTCTTATCTTGTCTATGTCAGAGGAAATAATGACAGGGCTTCATAAGGCCACAAACCTACAGTTAAAACCATCACAGATCTGTCATGCGCAGGTGCAACGCTGGCCCCTATGGTGCTCCTAAGAGCTGGCACATACTGTAGAGAACCCTTAGCAGACCAATAGCCCCTGAGGGCAACATGGCACTTTCAGTAACTCATCAAATCCATTAAATACACACCTAGGCTGGTCCACTAGTAGCCAGCTGCCTCACCACAACCTGCCAGAGGCTGGCAGCATGACTTGTACTTCGTGTGTACAGATGGTGCCTCAGCCCCAGCCTTCAGGACAATGAAGACCATCTCACTCATGGGAAGGTAACCTTTCTACTTAGACACTGTGGACACCCCAGACATCGGAGATAACTTTTGTTATCATGTTATAAACACGCTGTTCAGCCTACCTGTTGATGAGGGGTTGCTGTAGTGATTCTAAGACTAGGCTCCAGCTCAGGCGGCATTTGTTTACGCCAAGGATTTCTACTACAATATCTAAAAAGAGAGAACAGATGGGACTTTAGTGTTATAATATTCGCCTTACAATTTAAGGAGACTGCCTTCTAGTCTCCTTAGTGATATCAGAGGAATCCCCATCTCCCAGGATATCTGACAACTCTACACAAAATGGGTTAGTTCTGGCATTTCTCCAAAAAACGTGCTGTTATTGTTTTTGTTAGGTGTTGTCCAATCTGTTCCAACTCATAGCAACCCTTTGTACAACAGAAAGAGACACTGCTCAGTCCTGCACTAGCCTCACAGAAGTTCTTACGTCCAAGCCCAGGGCTGTGCCACTGTGTCAGGCCATCTCCTCCACGGCCTTCCTCCTTTCACAGGCTGCCCTTCTCCAGGGACTGGAGGTGTCTTTTGATAATACGTCCAACATACACGAGATGAACTCTTTCCATCCTTAAGTCTAAGACGCATTCTCAGTGGTTGTACTTCTTCCAGGACACCAAAGAACAGCCATTGACAGTCTCCATAAAAGCGGGTAAACTAAGGAAAGTATTCTTCTTAAGTTCCGTATCCAAGAAAGAAGGGCTTCAAGAAATACTTTTGTAACCTGTCACTCTGCTGCAGGTCCTACTCATTAGAACAGGTTGCTGTTGTTAGGTGCCATCAACTGCACAAAACACTGCCCGGTCCTGCGCCATCCTCATAATTGTTCCTATGCCTGAGCCCACTGCTGCTGCCCTGGTGCCAATGCATCTCTTTGAGGGCCTTCCTCTTTTATGCTGCCCCTCCACTTTACCTAACACGATGCCCATCTCTAGGGACTGGTCTTTCCTGACAACATGTCTGAAGGATGAAAGTCAAAGTCTAAGGAGCACTCTGGCTGTACATACTTCTTCCAAGGCAGATTTTGCCAGTCCGTGGGGCTCCCAACATTCTTAGCCAGCACCACAATTCAAAGGCATCGATTCTTTTTCAGTCTTCCTGATTCAATGTCCAACTGTCACATGCATACGAAGCAACTGAAAATACCACAGCTTGGGTCAGGCTCTCCTTAGTCTTCAAAGTAACATAGAGAGTGAAAACGGAAAGGAGACATTTTTTTAAATATTTATTTTATTGGATTTTATTTTGCATTTGTATGAAGGAGGCTGGCAGCATTATTAAACATTTACTTAAACTGCTAATTAACCTCCAAATATTTGTTTAGCACATAAGAAAATCACTGCTCATATGAAGATGGAAGGAGGTCTATGAAATGTGCACAGAAAGGAGAAAGTTTGGACTGAATGATCCATTTAAAAGCTCACTACTTCTTCCTGGTAACCATAGCCACAGGCAACACACTACCTTCCCTGCCTGCTTCAACACCACACAAAGTGAGGAAACAAAACCTCTTCAGACTTGGTGCCCGCCTACTGCTAAAGAACGAGTACTTTACTCAAAGGCTCCCACTTATCAAGTCTTAGCCCTTGCAGGGCACATGGCTTTCCTCCCTGTCTCAAAACGCCCTGCTTGGTATTGAACTCAAGGTCTTTGTCTGATAGGAATGGCCCTGAGACCTGCCCCTGTAATCGTTCTTTATCCAAATAGCTGCAAGATTATCCTCTTGTATTAGGGTCTTTTCATAGGGATCCTTTTCATTGCCTCAGCAGCATCTGAGTGGCAGAGTAAAAAAAAAAAAAAATCCCTAATCATTTTCCTATTAGTTCAAGAAATGGTGGGTAAATAAGTTTTTGTGTCTGGGCCCCATTGAAACTGGGGACGGGTATGGGGTAAGAATGGTAAAACAGGATGAGAAGGAGACAGGTATCCGAGGATACAATCTCAGCAGTCTGATTACCTGGAAGGACTCCCATTAGGCTCTGCAAAGCCTGTTTCTGAGCAGCCACCTTCTGCTCTTGGGTCCTTACAGGGCGAGGGAACTGAGGCAAATGTCCCCCAGGCCATATGGACTCCTGAAGAAGCTGCAGGTACTGCACCCAGCGCTGGGGACAGGTTAGATTAGCCACCTGGATCTCCAGCCACCTGGGAGGAAGAGAGAAGAAAGCTTAGAGAAAGTCCAAGGGGAGGGTGTGGCCGTGCAAGAACCAAGGGAGCAATTGGAGACGCATCTGCCCTGGAGCTCATCTGTCCTCACAGCGATCCTAAGGGACAGAGTGGACCTGCTCCTTTGGGTTTCTGAGACTAAATCTTGTCTTCATCAGGGTGGCTGGTGGCACTGAACTTGCGGTTAGCATCCCAAATCTTAATCCATCTTAACCATCAGCACACTTTGAGCAATCAGGACAAGGGAAGACAAAGTTAGCATAAGCTTTCCTAATTAGAGCCATGGCCATTCAAGAACTTAGGGTCACAACATTTGAAGATTAGTGATAATAATAATGTCACATACTGAGTGCTCACGGTGAAGCACATGTTCTTCTAAAAAAGCACACAAACATGCCCTGTCCTAAAGTAGGAAGCATTATATGTTCCCCAGGGAAGTTATACACAATCTTTACACATAAGCTTATCCATAATCTTTACTGCTAAGGGTTTGTGACTGTACACAAGCTCCTATCCTGGGCCACTCCAACAATGGCTGTCTTCAATTCCCAGGCCCTGTGACATCTTCCCTTGGCTTCCCAGCTGTCCTTTCGATAATAAGGCCACTCTTTTCAGAGCTGATGTCTGCCCTTCAGGCAAGACCTGTGTAAACCAGCTTCTTCCATGAAGTCTTTTCTGAACAGTCTTGCAACTTGTATTCTCCCAGCCATTACAACTAACTCCCATAGCACTAAGTTCTATAGCACCAATTAGAACTAATCTTTGACTTTGAATTATTGTTTTCTCAAGCGTTTGTAGCTTTACTTTTCCAACTGAACCGTGAGGTGCGCAAGAGAAGAGTGGGACCCAGTCTTCTGTCTGTTCTCATCGTGAAGACATCTCATTGTCTTACTTTAAAAATGAGCCAATGCTTCTGAGAGATTAGCGACAGCAAATGTGGAAGTCTTAGCAGATTCCTTAGTTTGTTATTTAGTCCTTAGTTGCCCATGCATTCTTTTTTTTTTTTTTTCCCAAAGTACCGTGGGCATGAGCATCAAGCTTCCTCAGTGAAGCCGGCAGGGGTGTATTGGCCAGAGATGCAACACCAGGTGAAGCGCTTCCACTCATGCATGGGAGACTCCCTTTGGTACCACAACACATGGTCGCTCATGCCATCACTCCTACATCTGAGTTACTTGTCTCCCATCCAAGAACAGAGGGGGCTGCCAAGGCAAACTTTATTTAACCTCCACCCTGCCAGACAGTCTGCATTCCACTCAAGCTAGGCATTCCAACCTCGGGGGCTGCAATGCCCCAAGCCCAGGGCTCACGAATGCTTCTAAGAATAGGGAGCCTGAAAGGTAATAGCAGTGCAAGAATGGCAGACATCAATGGAGATCAAGCCCGGCACAAAGCTGCTCTTGCCTAAAATAGCTCTCACGAGCGTATCTAGTCTTATTAGGGCGGCGCTACCTTTTTATAGGGCTTTTCATTCAGTGAGCCTAAGATGCCTGATGAAAAGGATCCAGGAGAAAGAATTCCTATTTCTGTTTATAGATGAGGTTCACCAAAGGGAGGTGGACGCAGTGACCTGATGGGGTTCTCTGCAGGGAATCAAGTCACTCAATGTTCTTAACCCAAGCTCACCTTTCTTCACCTTAAGCTACACCTGCTGCTGTGACTTTCGCTGAGGGCAATAACGTGGACAAGGTTCTCACCTAAGCGAATTGAGAGAAAGAGGCAAGGTAGTGCAAAATCAGAATCCAAGCCTTTCTTTCATGGGATGTAGAGAACCCTAGGATAAGAAACTTTGGGCGAGCATTTCTAGCTCAGTTTCTCATTCATGTTGGCATACAATAAGCCACTTTCCCCTCATTTTTGTCCTCAGAGTTAATAATGACTGTGGCTCAAACATTCAAAAGCATCTTGGAGTGTACTCAACACTTCTCAGACTAAACATAATATGCAACAGAAACTCCCTGTACTGTGGTCACGTTCTGCGTACATCATCTTTTCTTTTTCTTTTTAATGATTTTTTAAAAGCATTGTGAATTAAGTGGGGCACTTATATTTCAGACCATTAAAACTGCAATTAACAGTTCAAATCACTCCTCAATCCTCATCCCTGTCATCTATCCTATCCCCACGGACCTCCTCCTTACGGACCTCCGTCCTCCCTTTCACCAAAGTCAACACCTGTAAACCTTCTAGTCCAGTGCTTCGTCTTTCCACCTCTGCCCTCCCTCCCCTGAGACTCTCCAGAGGCTGTTCCATTGGATGACCAGTCTTTGTCTTGTAGCAGAGATTCACTACACCACCTGTCTGGTTGGGAATGACTAACTCCACTCAGCATAATGCTCTGCAGGTCATGATGTGTTTCATGGTTTCATCATTGCTTTTTGCGATGCGTAATTTTCCATTGTGCATATGTACCAATGCTTCTTTATGTCTTCTACTGATGGGCATTGGGGCTGTTTCCAACTTCTAGCTCTTGTGAACCGTGCTGTGAAGAACATGGGAGTGCACACATCTGTTTGTGCATGGCTTCTGCTTCTCTTGGGTGTATACTCTACAGAGGCATTGCTGGATTGTACGGAATATCTACTCTGAGTTGTCTGAGGCAGCACCGTGTCACTCTCCACAGTGGCATGTCTTGTATATTCAGTGGGGCAAGACCTCCGCATTAGGGCGACGATAGTGTCTCTGTCCTCCTCCATAGGGATCTAGCATCTCATGCACATATACATAAAATCCATTTTAGTATATGACAAAACCCGAATTTATGAATGTGTACACATCTATCCAACTGCAAGTTATCAAACATGGGAATTCTGGGGAAAAGAGCCAAAATAATAATAATAATAATTTGATGAGAATGAGTTAGTGAGTGAAATCAAAGTACGAAAGCTGAGCAGCCTTCGCCCCACCTCCAAACACACAACAAAACCTAATTGACAAAGCAGACTCAAGTCTCCAAGAAAATGACAACTGCTGATAAAACAAAGATACTGTCATAATCATAAACCCGGAGGCAAAGAACTGACCAACAGAGGGCCCTCAAAGAGTCAGTCCCGGAACGTAAGAAATAGGACTTGTACCAACTGGCAGAAAGAAAGCAAACTTCAGGTCTAAAAAGAAGCCGCATTTAAAAAGAGGGCTTCTAGCTATCAAAAGATAGAGCGTCTGGGGTCTTAAAGGCTTGAAGGTAAACAAGCGGCCATCTAGCTCAGAAGCAACAAAGCCCATGGAAGAAGCACAGCAGCCTGTGCTATCATGAGGTGTCGAAGGAATCAGGTATCAGGCATCATCAGGACAAAAAATCACATCATAGTGAATGAGGAGGGGAGTGAGGAGTCGAGACTCAAAGCCCATTTGCAGGCCACTGGACATCCCCTTACAGAAGGGTCTCGGGGAGGAGATGAGCCAGTCAGGTTGCGATGTAGCAATGATGAAACATACATCTTTCCTCTAGTTCCTAAGTGCTGCCCCATCGCCCACTATCATGATCCCAATTCTACCTTACAAATCTGGCTAGACCAGATAATGCACACTGGTACAGATAGGAACTGGAAACACAGGGAATCCAGGGCAGATGTTCACTTCAGGACCGCTGGTGTGAGTGGCGATAATGGGAGGGTGGAGGGTGGGTGGGGTGGAAAGGGGGAATCGATTACAAGGAACTACATGTGACCTCCTCCCTGGGGGACGGACAACAGAAAAGTGGGTGAAGGGAGACGTCGGACAGGGCAAGATATGACAAAATAATAATTTATAAATGATCAAGGGTTCATAAGGGAGGGGGGAGCAGGGAGGGAGGGGAAAAAATGAGGAGCTGATGCCAGGGACTTAGGTGGAGAGCAAATGTTTTGAGAATGATGAGGGCAATGAATGTACAAACGTGTTTTACACAATTGATGCATGTATGAGTTGTGATAAGAGTGGTATGAGCCCCTAATAAAACAATTAAAAGGGGGGGGGGCGTCTACTCTGGAGGCTGCAGTGTTCCAGTTTTCCTTATTCTTTATTCATCCCCTGGAGATAAATTACAAAACACTTCCACCACTCATGATTTCAAATTACACTCCCTTTTCATGACTGCCCTCTCGTCCAGGTTCTCCCTACCTCGCCGCCTCTAAGGAAACAGAGATCTTCTCCTAGACATTTGGATTGAGTCTGGTGTCATTTCCTAGCCCCAGGCAAGCCTGCAGGGGATGCAAAGTGCTCCAAATCCTTCTTGTCCATAGACCTTCTCAGGTATGCTATCTGGTCAGGAATAGCGAACACTTGTATCTGGAAAGAAACAATGACAGGGCCAACACCAAGATAATCACGACAGGCCATATCATCCTCTTCCTTCCACAATACCATCTCTACACAGTGTGAACCATCATGAAATCTCCAAGACGTGCTTTGCCAGCGGCCAGGTTCAGGGATGCAGGATGGTTGGCCTTTTCTAACATTTACCATCGAGCCAAATGCCAGTAGATTCTTACTAACGGCAAAGACAAAGGGTTTCTCCCCGCCAACCCCCCACCCCCACCCCGCCAATGAGCTTCTCTCTCCTCTGTTCTGATCTCATTCCCTTTATCCTAGCATCTTCTCTAGAGTACAGTTCCATCAACCCCAGCATTTCCTTGCTTAACTACATTAATTCCTTTAACCCTGTCTGGTTTATTCTAAAATGGAATTACAGAGGGAAAGCTAATAGATTGGGCTTATGGGTGTTAGAAGATAGAACCCTTAATATCTCCTCAACAATTCTCTTCATCTTTCTATTTCACAGGTGATTTTTCTGATCTTTACCTAGGAGTAGGAAGGGTAAAACAAATGTGTCCCTATAGCTACCCTGAAGCCAAATGCCAGTGATTTATGTGTCAGAACTCTGATGTTCTGGATGTGTAGGACTCTGATGTTCAGGAGCTTTCCCAGTAGTACTTCAGGAATTTGTGGGTACCACTTAGTATTTTGCTTATAGAAATCTAAAGCTTCGGGTGCTGCTG